CTCCTTGGGCAGAAGGTGCCGCCTCACAGCTCTCTGCTTTGGAGACTCCCGCCCCCCCGAAACTCCTCGCCGTCGGCTCCAGTACCCCAAACTCCTCTTCTGGGGCTCCTGCTTCCCCTTCCCCCTCTTCTGGGGTTCCAGGACTCCTAGACCCCTTCGCTTGGGCCTCTTGGACCCCTAAACCCCTTCGCCTGGGCCTCTTGGATCCCTAGACCCCCTCGCATGGGCCTCTTGGACCCCTAGAACCACTGGCCTGGGCCTCTCGGACTCCTAGATGCCCACGCCAGGGGTTCCCGTACGTCGAGGCCTCTTGTCCAGGGTTCTGTACCCCGAGAACTCTCTTCTGTAGCTTTTGTACCCCAAAACCCGTCTCCTGGGGCTCCTGGACTCCTAGACCCCTCGGGGTTCCAGTACCCCGAGGTATCTCGCTTGGGGCTCTCACCCTGAAACCCCTGTCTGAGCCATATCTCAAGACTCCTCATCGGTGGCTCCTGTATCCCGAGACTCCCTCACCCCGGGTCCTCTACCCGAGACCACTCGCCTGGGGCTCCTGGACTTTTAAGACCCCTCTCTTGGGGGCTCCTGTACCCCCAAATCCCGCTCCTGGGGCTCCGGTACCGACCTTTAACGGGGCTCCTGTATTTTTAGAGCCCTCTCCTGGGGCTTTTGTACCCCGAGACCCCTCACGGTGGGCCCTAGTACTCCTGGACTCCTCCCTGTGGGCCCCAGTACCTTCAGACCCCTCCTCTGGGGCTCCTGGACTCCAGGAGCCAGCACCCCAGCCTGAAAACCCTTTCAGGGCCTGAGTGACAGATCCTTAGTTCCTCCTGATGGGTGTGCATGCCCCCTCCCTCCCATGGCTTCCCCTGCCCAGCAACCTGCCCCCACCCACCCCAAGGAAGGGAGTTCCTGTCCAGGATCCAGGGTTGGGGTGATGGCAGCGAGGTTAGTGTGCAGTAAAGCAGGGCCAGGCCCAGGGAGCTGTCCTGTGACCCCCTTTCCTTTGGGACCTCGGAGTGGGTGGCCCTGAGTGCAGGTTGTCAAGGCGTTTGAAGTGAAGGTGGTCATTGATGCGGGTTTTAATGTGTGATAAAAGTGGCAGTTTATGGGTCTCGTTAATATGTTTGCCCCCCTTTTTTGCTGTTGGCCTAGAGCAGTGATGGCGAACCCTTTGAGCTCGGCATGTCAGCATTTTGAAAAACCCTAACTTAACTCTGGTGCCGTGTCACATATAGAAATTTTTTGATATTTGCAACCATAGTAAAACAAAGACTTATATTTTTGATATTTATTTTATATATTTAAATGCCATTTAACAAAGAAAAATCAACCAAAAAAATGAGTTCGCGTGTCAGAGGTGTCATAGGTTCGCCATCACTGGCCTAGAGTCTTTAAGAGACCCGAGGCTTCCACAGGAAGTACTTAAATTTAAGCTGCTGCCTTTTAATAACATTGTAGCCTCCAGGATTAGAACTTTTTAAAATGACTCTATTTATGGAAAAACATTACATTTGGTTTTCAACCTTGAATGAGTGCCATGTCCTATGAGTTTGTAAAGTGTAACATTTTACTAAGCTAAGTTTAGTTTCATGGTCATTCACAAAACCTTGTTCAACTTATGGTACTGTGAGCCTAGGAGGTGAAGAAATAGGGGAGTATGTGTCGGGGTGCCCTCATGGTCTTGGAGCAATGTCATCTGTGTAGTTGATTGCTAGAAGGTGTATGGGGGGAGAGCCCATGTTGCCCCTGACAGTCATACAGTTGGCTGTTTTGCTTTTTGTGGTTGGGTTCTTGATGATACATAACTTTTTAAAGTATCCCACAACTCTAGAATTTGCCGAATCAATAAGGAAAATGTTGGCTGATTATAATATCTCCATGATATTGCCTGAGTTTTTGTTTCTTTTCTGTACATATCTTTAAAAGAAATATTTTTGTGAGATATGTTAATGTAGGAAATCCCATAAAACACACAATATAGATAAGAAAACTTATATTTAAAAAATAAGTTGTGTCCCCATTACCCAGTTTAAGGTTACCCCTAATCCGTCATAACCCTCCCTCCCTCTTAGATGTAATTTCTCTCCTGGTTTACAGAAATTATGTCCTTGCTTTCCTTTATAGTTTTACCATCTACTGGTATATAACATTCCTACAATACAGTGTTAACCTGTTTGAACAATACCTGCTTAGGAGAACACTGTTTATCCTTTGAATTTGTATTTTTATTTTTTTGGTTCAGGGTTGCTCAACCCACATTTCTGTAACATGTAGTTGTAGTCTGTTCTGATGGCTGAGTTTATTGATTGAACAGTGCACAGTTTATCCACTCTCTGTTGGTGCCAGCCTTGTTGTACATGTGTGCTGGTGCTCCAGGACAGGTTTCCAGGACATCTGCAGGTTCCCCCACAGTCCAAAAGCAGGCACTTCCTGTGAAACCTCTCCTCTGCTGAAATGACATAAAGCAAAAGGCAATTACCATTAATTAATATAGAACATTTTTTGAGTAGTCCCAAACCCCCAAAATAACCTGCCAAATTATACCAATGAGCCCATAAAATAACACTGACACATAGTAAAAGGCAGAATGCACACAATAAGTCGAGATTCAGTATAGACGTTCACAGATACAGCTCAAAGCTCTGGTGGCGAGATGCTGAGAGGCTGCTTCCGCTTCCCAGGGAAGGAGCTTGGTGGGGCCACGCTCCCTGCTCTGGGTGCGCGCTGCCTCTGTAGTGGCTCCTGCAAAACAAACACGGGATGCTATTTCATATTTCAGCCTTTTTTCGTAAAAGAGAAGATCCCTTTGGGATTTCTTTTGGTTATTGAAACAGATAGTGATGTAGGTCTCCTAAAGTGAAGTGGCAGAAGGTGAACTTTGAAAAGCAGGGGATACCTGCATGTCAGGGCGCATGAACTACTAGCTAAGTGATGCCAAATGCTGTTCCCAGTCACTGTTGCTGTTTTAACTCCCAGGAGCAGTGAGAGAGCTTTTGGTGTTACTAGACTTCTTAGTTTTCACCATTTGGTGGGTGTGTCATGGGACTTCACTGTAGTTTGAGTTTATTGAGATACTGTGATGGAAAAAGCATTTTGACATGAGATTTTATATATATGTATATGTGTATATGTATATATATATATATATATACATACACAACTCAGGGAAATCGGTGTCAGAATTGCATTATAGTTATTTATATACCTGTACAAATAAAGGTTTTCTTTTGTTTGTTTTGTTAATCCAAATTCATTGATTTTTAGAAGTGGAAGGGAAGTGGGAGAGACACAGAGAAACATGGATGTGTGACACACCGATTGGTTGCCTCCTGCACATGCCCCAACCTAGGGCTGAGAATCGAGCCCAGGTTACTTCAGTCCGAGGGCTGATGCTCTATCCACTAACTCAAACCGGTTTTCAATGTTTAATTATTAGTTGATGTTATGAAGCTTTAGTTGAGTTGAGATAAAAGATTATTAAAAATTGAAGGAACTTTGCTAGAAATTAGTTTTCTGGAATGTGTTTGGAAGATTCAAGGTTTAATTTTTCTTGGCATTATCTTAGTCATATGACAGTATTTTCATTATGTGGCTGAACTCTGTGAGCCCAATTTTCCTGCAAATCTTCTAACTTTGATGACTTTCCTTAACTGTAGCAGTGCCCATCCCAGAGCATGGAGGTGGAATAGTACGAAAGCCTGCGAGAGGGCGCTGCAGTACCAAGTCGGAGAGAAGATCCATGGATTCACCGTGAGCCAGGTAAGGCCTGTCCTGACCTCTTTAATGGAGCTTGTGAGGGCCTTCGAGTGGACCCTGGATCTGTTTTCATCTTTCTTTCACGCCCTGGCCTCCTCCTGCTTCACAGTAGGTGCTCAGTGTGTGTGTGGAGTCTGCAATGAAAGTACTTCCTAAGAACAGGTCCCCAATCCTATCCCTGAACTCCTTCTGATTTTAGAAAGTAAACCAAACTCATTAATGTTTCTAACCTGGCAGTCCACACTGAATGACCCACATTCATTCAGGTCTTATCATCAAATGTTCTAACCTGGCAGTCCACACTGAGTGTGATACACAAAGATTCTGAATGACCCACATTCATTCAGGTCTTATCATCAAATATGTTTGCTGCAACGTTAAGCAAAAACTTTCTGTTTTTGAGCCATGTGGGTTTCAGAATTATGGGAAAGAGATTGTGTTTCTATCTTTACTTAAGTTATGTTAAAAAGGATTTTAATTTTGTTCTTGTGTTGCTTAAACTTCTGCTTTTTTTTTCCTTTAATGCAGTAATTGAGAAATATGTGTTTCACACGATTGGCTGGTTGTTGGCTTCCTGCTGTGCTTGACATGCTGACATGCACAAGGGCAAACAGCTCACATTCTAGAGGACCCCTGCAGGGGTAATACAGGCATAGTGGGATGAACGTCATGGTGGAAGTGCAGAGAGCCAAAGGAAGGCAGGAGGTGGGGGGAGCTGCATGGTGGAAGGAGAAGGCAAGGTTCCTGGAGAGGGGGTGTTTATAGAGAAGGGGGCGGTTAAGTTCAGAAGGAAAGTCACCATCTGTCTGTAGGGCCACATTCGTAGAGCCAGTGATGTGGGGCTCTCCCAAGGCAGGGTCCTGGAACGGTGAAGCATGACAGGGTGAGCCCTAAAGGCCATGCAAAGGGATTAGGATTGCTACTGCAGTATGGTGATGACACCTTATTTGGATTCTTTTATTTTTCAAGGTTTTTCCCCCAGTTTTATTGAGAAATAATTGACATCCATCACTGTATAAGCTTAAGGTGTAGTAAGCATTCTAAAAGGAGAGGTGTGTATGTATGATTGTCAGCCTAGCTCTTTCTTTGCTCATCGGCAAGATTTGGGGTTGGGACAGGTGGTGCCTGATGTGCCTCCAGCCAGGCCCTCAGTGGATTTAATGTAACCATTCAGAATGCCTTTCCAATTGAGTTTGGCCTCATGTTCTTGTTGTTGATTCAGGTAACGTCTGTCCCGGAACTGTTCCTGACCGCCGTAAAGCTCAGCCATGACGGCACAGGAGCAAGGTACTTGCACCTGGCCCGAGAAGACACGAATAACCTGTTCAGGTGAGTGGGCACCTTGAGAACACATTCTTAAACTTTTCTCCTTAGAGCAGCAGTTCTCAACCTGTGGGTCGTGACCCCTTTGGGGGTCGAATGACCCTTTCACAGAGGTTGCCTAAGACCATCGGAAAACACATATATAATTACATATTGTTTTTGTGATTAATCACTATGCTTTAATTATGTTCAATTTGTAACAATGAAATTGGGGGTCACCACAACATGAGGAACTGTATTAAAGGGTCTCGGCATTAGGAAGGTTGAGAACCACTGCCTTAGAGCATCACCATGGTTTAAAGAAATGATACTGACAGTGCCCTGAAAATATAAGGAAAAGATTAAATGACTACATTCTCAGCTATGTACAGTAGAGTTTACATTTGCAGTCAGTGATTGTATACATTACTAGAGACCGGGTGCATGGATTCATGCACTGGTGGGGTCCCTTGGCCTGTTCTGTGGGTCTCCAACATCCCCTGAGGGGTCCTGGATTGTGAGAGGGCGCAGGACAGGCCGAGGGACCACACCGGTGCATGACTGTGGTCAGGGAGGGACCGGGGAGGGCTCTAGCGTGTATCTGGCCCATCTCGCCCAGTCCCGATTGGCTGGACCCCAGCAGCAAGCTAACCTACCGGTTGGAGCATCGGCTGCCCGGTGGTCAGTGCACATCATAGCTACCGGTCGAACGGTCGCTTAGGCTTTTATATAGAGAGAGTCTGCAAACATTTTTATTAGAGATTACCATGTTAGAATGATTAATTCCAGTAATCCGGGGTAATGGCACATTTGGAAGCTATTGGACGGTGTGAGCTAACATGCCCGTGGTGGCTCTTTTCTGGCTGTAGCGTTCAGTTCCGCACCACTCCCATGGACAGTACCGGGGTCCCGCACGTTCTTGAACATACAGTCCTGTGCGGCTCTCAGAAGTACCCATGCAGAGATCCTTTCTTCAAAATGTTGAACAGGTCACTGTCCACTTTTATGAATGCCTTCACAGGTAAGACTAACATCTTGGCCTGAGACTGCGGTTGGGTCTGTTTCTAAGATAAAGGAGGGTAGTTGGGCCCTGGAGACAAGAATAAACTTATTCTCAGGTCTAGTTGAAAGATATTAGAAATTTAATCCTTTAGGAAAGCCACATTGTGATTGGATTAGAAAAACTGGAGTTTTAGCCCTGAATGGGTGACTCAGTTGCTTGGAGTGTTGTCCCATACACCAAGAGGTTGCCGGTTCAATTCCCGGTCAGGGCACATACCTAGGTTGCGAGTTTAGTCCCTGGTTGGTATGAGTACGGGAGGCAACCAATTGATGTTTCTCTCTCTCCCTTTCTCTCTCTATGAAATCAATTAAAAAAAAAAATCCTCCTCCTGTGAGGATTTTTAAAAAAGCAAAACAAAACTAGAGTTTTAGGAAAAAGGCATGTGAGGTTTTTCTGGAAAAGGTCAAAACTGTTTCCTTTGGAGAATATTGCTATGAATTTCGGCATTTGTAGCATTATGTTATGTTGATTGCTGTGGTGTTTTGAGTTTTATTTTGGAGAAATAGGAGAGTCAACAGGCTGGCGGTGTGCACAGAAGTGCTGTTACAAGTGCAGTTAAAGAGCAAATTCATTGGGCTGCCTTGCTAGGCCTGTGAGGTAACTGGTGCTGGACCATAGTTCCTGATGTTTTAAAATCTTTCCTTTTGTTTTCAGCTAGTGACTATACTCTCTACCCGTTTTCCACACAAAACCCCAAAGACTTCCGGAATCTCCTGTCCGTGTATTTGGATGCAGCCTTTTTCCCCTGCTTGCGAGAACTCGATTTCTGGCAGGAGGGATGGCGACTGGAACATGAGAATCCGAGTGACCCCCAGACAGCCTTGGTCTTCAAGGGGGTTGTCTTCAATGAGATGAAGGGAGCGTTTGTGAGTTTTTTCCTTTCTATATTGTATTAAAAGCAATACATTTTAATGTATTTCATTTTACTGTATTTCATTTTACTCTGTAAAATATTGAAATATAAGTAGGTTTGGAAAATAATCGACATCCTGCTATGTCATTTAATATTCTCATTGTGTGAGGTTTATTAGCTGGCGGAACAATGAAGGGCCAGGCTCCCGGTCACCCTAGAACTTGCTCTTCCAGACGAGCAGTTCTGTGGTCTGGGGACCCCGTATATGATCTGTAGGAGGTCTGTGAGAAAATAATATTTTCATGACAGAAGTAAGACATCTGTCTTTGCCACCTCATTCCTGCCGAGCATGCAGGAAATTCCCCGAGACCATGGTGCACAGTGTGTGATGTCAGCACAGAAGCAGGTAGAGACGCCAGCTCCCTTCCATGAAGCTGGACTTTAAAGAGATTTGTAAAATATGTAAAATAGTCATTTTTCTCAACAGATTTTTGTTTTGTATGAAAAGTAGTTTTTTAAAAATACTGGTTAACATGTTATTTGTGGGTTAAGTTAGTGATTAAATAGTTTTCAGTTTCAGTTTTAATTTCTAATGTAGAAAAATTATATACACACACCTCTACATGATCAAGAAACTCAAATCATCAGAAGCTCTTTGGGGACCTCACTAATGTTTGGGAGAATGAAGGGCCAGACAGTTTGAGACCCTCTGTCCTGGGCCCTGTCCTAGCCCCTGACTTTGGAGACCTGCCCTGACCTGTGGTATGGCTTGTGTGATCTGTGCTGCTCCCTTTCCCTTGCTGACTGGCGGCTGTGTCTTAACTTCAGTTCTCGGTTTGGGCATCATTTCTTTCAAACACGTTAAAACTCAAGTTAGGATGACTGCTTTCCCTCTGGATATCCATAGGAACGCCCATACACCTCGTGGGCAGAGGGAGCCCAGGACATCTTTCCCACAGCCTCCCCTGTGTGGTTCATCACCCAGGGTCTACTGCAAAGTGGATGCACCCTCTCTCCCAAGAGAGCAGTCCCTGGTCCTGCGCACAGATCATGAGTGAACTGGGTGCTTTGTTAAACACTATGTGTGGACACCCTTGTTTATCATTGGGACGGTTTTATTCGCGAGGTGTTATAGGTACATGCTCCCAGGATGTGGTTAACTTGCTCTGTGTGGACACCCTTGTTTATCATTGGGACGGTTATAGGTACATGCTCCCAGGATGTGGTTAACTTGCTGTGTTGTAATAATGTGTATACTATGCTACATATATGTGTATTTTTTTAATTTGAAGACAGATAACGAGAGGATATTCTCACAGCACCTTCTGAACCGCCTCCTTCCTGACCACACGTATGCGGTGATCTCTGGTGGTGACCCATTGTGCATCCCAGACCTCACGTGGGAGCAGCTTAAACAGTTCCATGCTACGCATTATCACCCCAGTAATGCCAGGTGATGTTTTGTTTTTAAGGTTGGATGGTGTTGGATTATGAGTTGACTTGCTTTTTCTTACACAGTGATAAGCTTCTCTCACATTTATCAGGGAAATGTTTGCTTAAGAGCCAAGTAAATTGAGATAAGATTCTTCACTCATAAATTGCCTTTCTCATTTACTTGGACACTCAGTCTAAAGGTCTGCAGTGACACTCTTGCAGCCCAACATGGTGGTTACCCACCTCCTGGAGGAGGGCCTGGGCCCACCCTCCTCATAGGGCGGAGTGACAGGTGCCCATAGCTTCATGCCTCAGTCCCAACAGTGCCCCAGGAATGGCGGTGGCAGTTATTAAACCTTGGATACTTAATTTTTGATAAATTGCTTATTTCAGAGATCACTAAAAATTAAACGCTAATAAAGGGAACTACAAATATGAGGGTTTACCCTCAATACGTGGATTATTGAGCCTAAAATATAAAGATATTTTCTTACATGAGATAATACCATTTTCACATTTAAGAAAATAAAAGACTTGCTCAAAGCCACCTACTACAAATTCAGACTTTCCAGTTGTCCCCCAAATTTGTGACCTAAGTGAGGCCCACAAATTGCCTTTCATCATCATTATGTCTTTTTAGTACCCTTTGTGTAGGATGGAGTCCCCTCTGTTTTCATTGAAACTGAAGAAAGTAGGCAGGTTGCCTCTGGATTTTCTCAAAACTTATGCCAGTGGGGTTTTCTAAAAACTTTCTGGGCGTCTGATTGCCTTTCTGTGGCATTGGTGGGTGTGTTCGTGTGTTTCCCAAAGGGGACTTGGCTTCAAAGACTCAGTTACCTTCATAGTTGATGCCTGCATCCCTGCTGCATCCAGATGTCTCGGACCTGCTTACACAGGGGGAAGCTGCAGCTGGTTGCGGGTCCCACGGTGACAGCGATACCCACTGTAAAGCTGGTTCCTGCCAGACCAAGGCGTAGGCTGGGGTGGTAACCAGCACCTTGTGGACATTGAGTTCCTCATCCACCTGTGCATGTTCTCATATTCATTGACGATTCTTGCCTGGAGCAATTCCTTCAGTAGAGTTAGTAAAGCTTTCTCAATAATAATTCCACATGAATTAGCTGGGCTTCTGTACAGAAGAGCTTTCCCCGTCCACGGGGCGGTGGGTTACCCTGAAGACAGGATTCTGAGGGGAAAGGCCGGGTGCTTGTTTCCCTTCGCTGTCCAGTTTTGGGGAGAGGCATGGCGGCAGTTGCTCTTCCAATAAAGATACCCTTTTCTTTCTGGCCTTGTTTGGTTTGTTTTATTTTTTAATATCATTATACTCATATACATATTTTTATATATGTGTATATCTGAGGTGTGAGATCACATGGATTTTTTAATTAATCTTTTTATGTTCACATGTCCCAAGTATGGCCCAAGGGAGCTCCCTCAAGCTCATCCTGTCGGACAGTTTCAGTCTTCAGTAACTGTTTTCTGTCCTCCTACCCAAACCCAGGCTCTTCCTGCTCCAGGTGTGCAGCTAGTCATTTCCCAAGGTGGCCTGTGACTCATGGGGACAGACATTTATAGACTCGTGTCTGCACGGCGCTACTGTTTGAGTGGAAATTTTTTAAGGATCTTTTAGATACTCATTCCCCAAATGTTTTTTATTTTTTATTTTTTTTGTTAATCCTCACCTGAGGATATTTTTCCGTTGATCTTTTAGAGAGAGGGAAAGACAGAGAGGAACATCAATGTGAGAGAAACACATCAATTGGTTGCCTCCTGCATGCACCCCGACCAGGGCCAGTGCCAGGGAGGAGCCTGCAACTAAGATATGTGCCCTGGACCGGAATTGAACCCAGGACCCTTTGGTCCGCAGGTCGATGCTCTATCCATTGAGCCAAACCAGCTAGGGCTCATTCCCAAAATTTTAACCGCAACCGACATTATATTAAAGTAGAAGATCAACTCTATGATTATAACCCTTTCCCCCTGGCTGAATAAATGTGTTGGTTTCAAAACATGTGTAATCTGAAATTTGTAGCCTAAAATTGAACTTTGTGAAACTCTTTATCTTTCAGTCTTACATGGATTATTGTGTTACTGTAGCCAAGGTCACAAAGTAGTTTAACATAAAACTTATTTGGTTTTTTATCACCATTAGAGATTTAAAATGAAGAGCAGTTATTGCCAAATTTACATTTAATTCTTCCTGTACAACTTTTGTTTGGTTTGAACCACCTATTTATAAAAAGAGCAAAAGCATCTGTTTGGTGTTTATAGTTAAACTAAGTGTAAAAAAAAAAGTGTTCCTCTATAAAGTTCATTTCCACTTTGAAGCCGCTTGTTATCAGCTAATATATGTGTATGTGTGTATGTATATAAAAAGGCCATCTGTGCTGATTTCTAATCTTTTAAACTAAAATAGACTAATATATTCTCTCAAATTTTTAGGTTCTTTACTTATGGTAATTTTCCACTAGAACAGCATCTGGAACAAATTCATGAAGAGGCTCTGAGTAAATTTCAGAAAATTGAGCCACGCACCACCGTGCCGCCTCAGAAGCCTTGGGATAAGCCGGTGAGTGCGCCCAGAGGATAATCAGTGTTGTACCAGCCTGTTAGTATGTGGAGACAAAGACTCCAATTGTGTGTTGATAACGGGATTTAAAATGTGGTTGTGAGCTCTTCTCAAACCTAAAGAAGGTTACAGTAAAGCCTCATTATAACAGACTAATTCAGGCGAGGGGTGTCCGTTAAAGCTGAAAGTCCGTTATATAATAAGGTAGGTTTTCCAAATGCATACCTTAAAAAATTGGCAAATTAATTAGTTTACCTGTTTTTACTTATGTGGACACGTTTGTGTAATTAAAATTAAGTATGTATGAAAAGTTTAATTTCATAGAAAAGTTTTCTATATGTATAACTGTCATTTTAAATTTATACTGAATAGGTCTAGTAAATTCGAACATTCCCCTGTCATCTCAAGTAAATGGTTGGGGCGTGGCTTAGTGCACATCAGAACATTTGCCACATGAATTAAAACTGCTGCAGAAAGACCCACCATGAGCACGAAGCAGTGTGATCACGTGCTAATCCTTTCCCGAAAATTTAGAAGCAGTGGCTCTTGAATTTAAATATGTAGACTATAGTTGTAGACATGTAATATTTATTTATGTCAGCGAAATTACTAGTGTTTTTTCCAACATATGACCTATTTGCTAAAATTTGTTAAAAGTAACAGTGAATTAATAACAAAAAATAACCTGTTAATTTAATTACCTATAAGCAAGTCTTGGTTAAAAGCATTTTAAAATCAACTGGGTATTAATTTTCACATATGACATGTAGACCTGTAATTTTGTGGGTTAAGTCTGAAGTCCATTAAGTTGAGGTTTGCAAAATTGAGTATTTGCTGTAATTTTTTTTTTTTGTCTAAAGTTTTTCTCCTTTTTCCCTGATTGATGCCCCCCCACCCCAGACTTTTCCCACCCCTGAGGGCAAGCTCCCACCGCCCCAGTGTTTGTGTCCATTGGTTATGCTAATATGCATGCATACAAGTTACTGTTTTTGTCTTAAAACAAAGTTAATTTAATGAAAAGCATCTCTTGGACCATTTTATTCCTCTAGGTAATCTATACTAGTTTAAACCCATTCATTCACGTGCTGTGCCTACTTCATGGTTTTACAGAGGGAATTTCAGATCACCTGTGCTCCGGACTCAATGGCTGCAAGTTCCTCTAAACAAACAACCATCAGTGTCAGCTTCCTCTTACCAGAGTAAGTATCCATGTGGAAGTAGGAGACGCAGGTGAGCAGGGTCAGATTTAGTTCTCCAGTCAGGTATGAATGGTTGGGAGGTTAGGGTTCAGGGTTACAGCAGGTAGGTCTTGGATGTCAGTGGGGTTTCTGACAATGTCTAGAATAGTTTGAGGGGAAATCTCTGAGTAGCTGTTCTGAAGGAAAGTAACTTCTTCCTCACTGCATTTTAAAGCTCAATTCTAGAGAAAAAAATGGGCTCAGAACAGAAGTCGTTACCATTGGGGTCACAGGTGGCTGAGTGTGAGAAGAGCACTGTGAACGCTGCTGAAGGGTGTGGGCAGCGAGGAACCCTGCCTCACTCCACCCATCAGGGTTGTCTGCCATGTAGTGTGACAGTGCGGTTCGAATTGAAGTAGTACTATGTCAGAGTGCTTGCACACACTCCTGCAGTAGCATTCAGTATGCAGCTAAACTGACTCTATGGTTTGGACTCCCAAAAAAGTCCTAGTATAATTACTCTCTTTTGCTGATATAACTATTAAAATAGAGGTTGGAATGCAAGAATTTCTACTAGAACTTCAACTTCTTTGGAAAAAAGTGTAAATGTAGTACTGATTATAATGATTTTGAAAACATAAGGGACAATGGTTTTCTCTTTTTCTCTTCAACCCCCTACCCACGTCCCTTTTAAAATGAAGGATCACTGACACATTTGAATCCTTCACATTAAACCTTCTGTCTTCACTCTTGATCGGCGGGCCCAACTCCCCCTTCTACAAAGCCTTAATTGAATCTGGACTCGGCACAGACTTTTCTCCTGATGTTGGGTAAGATTTATCTTCAGATGAGATCATTGGTTGCTATTGGGGGCAGTTTTGACATTTGACAATGTGACACATTTTTATTTGTCACAACTGGGGAGGGAGGGTTACTACCAGGTGGTGGGTGGGGCCATGGAGGTAAGATGCTTCACATCCCACAGTCACAGGATGGCCCCTCCTGCCCCAGCACAGAACTGTGCACTAGAGTACGGATCCAGTACAAGCTAACACATTGTAGACCAGTGGTTTTATTGCTAGCTTTATCCAGTGATCAGATAAGTTTCTATTGAACGAGTACAAAAACATTTTACATAAATGTTAAAGGCACACTTTAAAATTAAATACCCATTGTATTTTGAAGTTATTTATTACATGTTCTTACAAGCTAATATCTTTTTAAAGTATGATACTTTGTAAAATACTGTGTAATGTGAATCGAGAATTCTCGTGATCCATCCACAGTGTGTTAACTTATGTTCCCTACAGGGGGTATCTGGAAAAAGGCAGCTTTTTAAAGATCTCAGAATGGCATACTGGTATCTATTTTAAAAGTCAGGTTGTTAAATATTGTTAGAAATCTTAAGGTTTTGTAAAACTGAGCAGTTCTCTATTTTTAGGTTTATTTTGCCATAACTCTAAAGTTTAAGTTGTAGTGATGTTTAGAAATGTTAAAAAGATGTGGTGTCACTGTGATCAACTATGTCTGAGAAACAGGTATGTGAGGATACGGCTTTCATTGCTTTGTCCTGGAGGACTTGGGAGTTTAATGTTCTTAGCTCTGTTCTGCAGTATATTTGATCTTGAAATGAAGAAGTGCATGGTGAGTGAGTGATGGAAGCCATACGGACTGTAATGCATGATCACCTTTCCTATTCTAGATACAATGGCTACACACGGGAGGCCTACTTCAGTGTGGGCCTGCAGGGGATCGCCGAGAAGGACATTCAGATGGTCCGAGACATAATTGACAGGACCATTGACGATGTCATCATGTACGTATGACCCTCTGCACCAATTTGCTCGCCTTCTCAGTTCCTAAATACTTCACAGCAAGGTCCAGCCTTCTCCATTATTGGCCATCTCTACATAACCTCACGTTTAGTTGCTTAAATATTATCTCTGCTCTCTTGTTGCAAAAACATTTGTTTTAGTACTTCCGTCATTTTTATTACTAAATAATATTCCATGTGTTACATACCACAGTTTATCCATTCATCACTTCATAGACATTGGGGTTGTTTCCACTATTTTTGGAGGCTTGGATGAATAATGCTGCTATGAACATTTACTAGTATGTATAAGCTTTTGTGTGGAGACATGTTCTCTTTTCTCTTGGCTAGATAACCCAGAGTGGAATTTCTGGGTCAAGTGGTACCTCTGTATTTAACTTTTTGAAGAATTTTTAAATCAAATTGTTTTGCAAAGTCACTGCACCAAGTTAAACCCAACCCAAAATTTATGAGAGCTCCAAATTGTCTAATGTTTAGGATAATCAAATTGTTACAGATCTTCCACTAATTTTCTGGTTTATGATTATTATATCCATCCTGGTGGATTTGAAATAGTCTCTTTTTTTTTTTTTTTTGGTTAATCCTCAACTGGGGTTATTTTTTTCCATTGATTTTTAGAGAGAGTGGAAGGGACGGGGAGAGACAGAGAGAGAAACATTGATGTGAGAGAGATACATCAGTTGGTTACCTCCCGCATACACCTGGACCAGGGCCAGGGATCAAGCCTGCAATTGAGGTACGTGCCCTTGGCCAGAATCAAACCCATGACCCTTCAGTCCATAGGCCGATGCTCTAACTACTGAGCGAAATTGGCTAGGGCTGAAGTAGTCTTGATTTGCACTTCCCTAATGATAAGTGATGTTGAACATCTTTTCATTTGCTTACTGGCCACTGTGTATCTTCTTAGGAATAATGTGTATTCAAATTCTTGATCCGTTTTTTAATTGGGTTATGTGTTTTTTAATTCTGTGATTGTGAAAGTTATTTAAATATTCTGTATTCAAGGCCCTTATCAGATAACCTGGTTTGCAAATATTTTCTCCCATCATATGGCTTGTCTTTTTGCTTTCTTGGTGGTGACCTTATCACCCAAAGTTAATCTCCTGCCATCACCATGTATTTGACCCCCTTTATCCTTTTCATCCTCTCCCCACCCACCTTCTCCTCTGGTAACCACCACACTGTTATCTGTGTCTATGAGTTTGTTTGTTCCTTTGTTGCTTTTTATTTTATATCCCCCATTTGAGTGAAATCATATGGTTCTTGTCCTTTTCCTTCTGACTTATTATTATTATTTTAAAAATATTTTTATTTCAGAGAGGAAGGGAGAGGGAGAGAGAGATAGAAACACCAGTGATGAGAGAGAATCATTGATCCAGTTGCCTCCTGCACACCTCCTATTGGGGATTGAACCCAGGCATGTGTCCTGACTGGGAATTGAACCATGACCTCCTGGTTCATAGGTTAATGCTCAACCTATGAACATGGGCAGAGCTGTATGTCTTCTTGGGAAAAGTGTCTGATCAGGTCCCTCTGCCCATATTTTAATTGGATTGACTTGTGTGTGTGTGTGTGTGTGTGTGTGTGTGTGTGTGTGTGTGTGTAGTTGTATGAATTCTTTTATATATTTTGAGTATTAGCCCTTTATTGAAGGTATTGTTTTGCAAATATCTTCTCCCATTCAGTTGGTTGCCTTTTGATCTGTTGATGGTTTCTTACAGTACAGAAGCTTTTTAGTTTGATACAATCCCATTCATTTATTTTTATTTTTACTTTCCTTGCCTTGGGGTCAAGTTCATAAAGTCCTCTCTGAGACTAAGGTCTATATGTTTAGTACCTCTGTTTTCTGCTATGTATTTTATTGATTTGTTTTTAATTCTCACCTGAGGATATTTTTTCCATTGATTATTAGAGAGAGAGGCAGGGAGAGGAAGAGACAGAGAGAAACACCAATGTGAGAGAGACACATCGATTGGTTGCCTCCTGCATACCCCTGACCAGGGCTGGGAGCCTACAACCAAGGTACGTGCCCTTGACCGGAATTGAACCTGGGACCCTTCAGTCCACAGGCCAATGCTCTATCCACTGAGCCAAACCAGCTAGGGGTCTGTTATGTATTTTATTTTTTCATGTCTTATATTTAGGTCTTTAACCCATTTCGAGTTAATTTTTGTGTATGGTGTCAGATAGCAGTCTAGTTTTATTCTTTTGCATGTGGCTTTCTAATTTTCCCAGCACAGTTTATCGAAGAGGCTTTTCTTTCTCCATTGTATATTTTTGGCTCCTTTGTCAAAAATTAATTGCCCATATACATGTGGGTCTATTTCTGGCCTCTCAGTTCTGTTCCATTGGGCTGTATGTCTGTTTTTCTGCCAATACCATGCTGTTTTGATTATTGCAGCTTTGTATTAAGAAACATTTCTTTCAACATCTCTGTTTTCAATGTTTCTTTAGGAAAGGATTTGAAGATGATCGAATTGAAGCTTTACTTCATAAAATTGAAATACAAATGAAGCATCAGTCTGTCAGCTTTGGACTCGCCCTGACCTCTGTGTGTAATTTCTCAGCCGTCTCCTGTTTTTCTTTTTTTTTGTTACTTTTGGAATTAGTGGTTCTTAAAAATACTGTATAATTGCAATTCATAGAAACTTTCCCTTGAACCTTGAAAGTTATGCTATTTTGCATCTGATATAACTTTTAATTTAGTTTGTCTTTTTACTAGGTTGCTTAATTGGCTTTTTTTTGGTATCTTATGTTTATATGTAAAATAGATTTACACAGACCACTTTAAAGGAATTGATAATAAGTATTGATCTGTTGGTAATTATATTTTCTAAAAATAGTTTTAAACCTGTGCTTTTTCTTATTTTATTAGGGACAAAAAGGTTTAAAATTAATTTTTTCTTCTTTTAATCAAAGAATGACTTAATTTTCATTATAATTAGTCATCTGTGGTATTTTTTAAACATAGAAACAGATTTTAATAAAATGCCCTGCCTTTGATATTTACTGAGCTGATGTGGAGTTCATTGTGTAATATGCTTTGTGGATTTAAACCTCTGCTCCAGTACATAGCTTCCTGCTGGAACCACGATGGGGACCCTGTGGAGCTCCTGAAGCTGGGAAGTCAGGTGGCTCAGTTCAGGCAGTGCCTTAAGGACAATCCAAAGTTTTTGCAAGAGAAAGTGAAACAATATTTTAAGGTAAGAAAATTAGAGAATTTAAGTCTATAATTTTGAAGTTGAATTTTATAATGAAAGGAACATTGCGAACATAATCTACATTATGTAAATCAATTTCTGTTAATAAATAGGTGACATGATTTCTTAATTATTAATTAAAATTTTAAATGCTCATATTAACTTAAAAACTCGGTTTTCCAGATTCAGATGTGATTTGACTATGTGTTATGTTTTTACGTATGAGTATTTGTATTAACAAAACATATGCACATTTGTTAATAGAACATACAGAATATGAGAACAAGTCACCTACATGTGTGAATATTCTGGTTATTTTTATAAAGGATTCTTTTGATGCTTGCTCCTTATTTCTGTAGATTTCTGGGCATTTCTACTTGTTGTAAATTCCCTGGTAGATAGTTGTCAATATGGTAGAACTTCTAGCGAGACCTTGACCATGGTGGGGTCTGTCGTGAAGGCTGACTGCTGTACTAGGTGCCATTGTTTTGGTCATGGGGCATGATTTGGTCATTTGACCTTCAATCTCTCTAAGTTATTATAATTTATTTTGCATAAATGTTTTTTTTAATTCTCCCACTTCTCTGTAGTATTACATACACATGAGCATTTTGTGTGCTAGTGCTTTCAGTTGAAATAAATAAGAAAACACGTTAAGTCACCTAACATTTTTACATTAAGCTGATGTCTATTTTGTCTTCATAATTTATAATATGTTGAATGAAGATTCAGCCTTTGAGAGATTAATAGTATAATGAGGACTAGATAAAAATTAAATTTTTTCTAATTGTCTTCAATGTAGACTGAAGTTAAAAATTTATATTAGAAAGTGTCAACAGTTTCCTTCTACAACCAAGATGTAAAGAAAATGTTGAGTATTAATACATTTATGGTTGCAACATCATAACAATAATCACACTAATAATAGTAGTAACAGCATATATGAATTATGTAATTTCTACAAAGCAGGTATGATTGCAAGAATTTTATCTGGCTCACATACTCTCTCCAAGACAATCTTTGGATGAGTGCTGTCCTCACTATTTGAAATGGAACGTGGGACTCGGGACCAAGAGCACACAGGCAGAGAGGCTGGTTCAGCATGTCCGGCTTTAGTAACATCTTGTTTTAATTTGGCTCTTTTGTTGCTGTGGATGTTGTTGCAGAATAATCAGCATAAGTTGACATTATCAATGAAGCCAGATGACAAGTATTCTGAGAAACAAGCACAAATGGAAACAGAAAAACTGCAACAAAAGGTCAGCACTCTTTCTCTGGAGGACAAGCAGCAGATCTATGACAAAGGTCAGACTCTCAATTTTGTTCCTGGTCGTTTCTTAGCCTTTGCCCAACCCTGGTGAACTTCTTACTGAGGATATAGTTGCAGGCAAGTCTTATTTTGACCAACAGGTATTTGTTGGGCACCTGCGAAGTTCTGCATTGGGTGTTACGGGTTCAGACCTGATAGGATGGACGCTGTTCTCAGTAAATTCGCCCCCTGTCGTTGGGCGGGAAAGGCAGGAGTGGTGGAAATGAGGCAGCTTTAGAAGGTGTATTCACTTCATATATTTTATAAGAACTTCTGTTTATCAGGTGCTGTAACATGCCCCGTCCTGTGTTGTGTTGCAGTGTGTAGTGAACTGCCACCCAGCACTGTGGATGGTGTGAGCTGTGAGATCAGAGGAGGCGGGTCTCATCTCAGTGATGGGGAAAGGCGTGAGCTGTGGTGAAGGCACACTCGGGTCTGTGTGGTGCAGGTGCAGTGAAGACAAGAATTTCTTACAGCACCGAACATATACTTACTGGGAATCCCAGTGGTCCTACTCTTGTTTACTTAGAAGAAATGCAGTGTGTGTCCACACAAAACTAGAAATAACTCACATCTCCACGAACATATTTTGTCCATAAAATGCAATACTCCTGGGTCATAAAGAGGAACACACTCATTATTGGTGAATCTCAAAAGCCTTTGTTAAGGGAAATTAATTAGCCAGGCACAAAGAATACCTACTGAGTGAGAACATTTAATGAAACTCTAGAAATGGCAAAAGGACAGCGACAGAAGGCAGTTGAGGCCAGAGTGGGGGCGGGGAATAGCCTGCAGTGAGCCAAGAGGGCACTTCCTGGGTGCTGGAAATGTTCTGCATCATGATGTGGTGGTTCATTTGTCAAAACTTACTGAATTGTATTTTTTAAATTGTGAATTTCAACATGTGTAAATTATGTATTGATAAAGTCTCATTAAAATATACATGTAGTACACACAGAAATACAACACCCCCCTTTTAATCAAGCTAAGTTTGAGGCGATTTAATCTAGTAAAGGCAAAATTAGTGTCAACATGCAACCTATTATTCTTTATCTCTGAATTCTTTAGACATACGGCTATTTTAGATTTTCCCATAAATTTAACATGCTAATTGAATAATAAACACAAACTTTTGTGAGTGCCAGTTGACAAGTTCCATCTATCGTTTTTGGTTTTTATAATTGAGGTCTATTTGATATACTAATCTTGGGTGTACAACAAAATCATTTGCTATATGTATGTATTATGATGATTACAGTAAATCTAGTTAACATTTGCCACCATACATAGTTATAGGTTTTTTTCTTGTGATGAGAACTTTTAAGATTTACTCAGTAATTTTAAAATATGCAATATAGTGTTACTAACTTTAGTCACCATGTTATACATCTCATGACTTATTTTATAACCAGAAGTTTGTACCTTTGACCCCTTTCACTCATTTTCTACCTCCCACCCCTACCTCTGGCAACCACCAATCTGTTTTCTGTATCTATGAGCTTGGTTTTCTTTGTATCTGTATTTTTCCACATATAACTGAGATCATATGGTATTTGTTTTTTTCTAACTTATTCATTTAAAATAATGCCCTTGTTTCATTTGTGTTGTTACAAGTGAAAGGATTTCTTTTTTCTTTGTTTATGGGTGAATGATATCCAATTATGTATATACTAGAGGCCCAGTGCACAAAAATTT